TCCCAAGGGGGGGGGGGGGTGCCATCAGGCAACATGCAAGGACCCCCAAGTCAAATCCGCAGGGACCTCAGTAAAGCAAAAACCAACAACATACACGTATGAGTGTGTAAATATATGTATTCTTTTAACTGCAAAACTTTTCTTTCTTTTCAAAACTTTTCTAATCCAACATGCACCCAAACTCTCCTAAGCTGTCTACAGAATACTGTTTTCCAAACCTCAGAAACCTTTTCTTATAGAATCTCCAAACAGGATGCCAGATAAAACAGAAAATGCACTCAGTTCATTTGACTTTCAAGTGAACAACAAATAATCTTTACAGTAAGTACATCCCATGAAATATTTGAGACTCACACTGAAAAGTTATTCATTGTTCATCTGAAATTTTAACAGAATGTTCTGTGCTTTTGCTAAGTCTGGCTACCTCCCCTGAGGCACTGGTTTTAAAGAAAGCACTTGGCAATCTCTGAGGATGGCCCATTGTGGTGTGCCCATCTCTGAGTCACCCACACCTACCACAGCCACACCACCATCCAGAGCACCACACATTCCAAGGGGAGCTACCTAGGGTCTCAGTCAAGGTACAGCCTCTCAGTGGGCAGCTGGGAACAGAGGGTGAAGCGCCCTACCTCCACAAAGCCACATCAGGGAAGACAACAGGGCAGATGCTGGTGACCCTCTAAAGGGAAGGAGCCCAGTGGCTCAAGGGAACGAGTAAGAACCATGCTCCTTGGTCAGCTGCAGGTGCCTCCGACCAGCAGGCAATCAGCTCACACCTGTGGGTGCACTAAACTGAAAGGGCCAACAGGACTCTCTGAATCCCAGGACATCAGGACCCCTCCCCTTGTTTCAGCACCATTACTGGGACAGTGAGAGGCAGGTGAGGGAGTCTGAGCCCCACTGGAGGTGGCCTTAGTCATCTGCTGCCCCTGTGCAATTTCCAAAGGGTGCTAGACTCATAGCAATGGCCTCGCCCCCGACTCTGCTCCCAGGTGTGGTGCTACGGAAAGGCTGGATGGCACTCTATTGACCAGTCCAGAATGCTGAGGCAGCTCCCCCACTCGGCAAGAATGGGGGTCTAGGCCACTGCAGCCTGACTAGGAGGGGCTCAGGCCAAAAATGCCCCACAGCCAGTCTGCTCTAAGGATGTGCCTAGGGGTCCTCAAGCTCACACTCAGCTGGACAGTTCTACACAGGCGGCTGTGACCAGCACAGCGAATCCCTCCCAGCCTCAGACCCAACTCCGGGCCCTGCTCCCCAAAGTAGAGGGGGGCATCCTGACCAACATCCAAGTGCTAACTTGCCAGGGGCTGAGCAGCTATCCCTCAGGACACCCCCGCTGTCCCCTGCTGCCCCCTCACTGGTGGAGCCTACGCAAGGGTCGACCCACTGGTCCTCACACCCAAGAGGCAAAGTCTCCAGAGGCAGGGCAGTCCTTTAGCCTGGATGGTAAACCCTCCCCACTACTCACCATGGGATCTACAGCCCTTCCCTAACACCCCAGCAAAACCAAAACCCAATTCCAATTACCCCATGAGACGTGTGGACTAAGTCTCACAACCACCTAGCACTTTGGGGAGAGTCCTCCTTATACTCTGCAGGACTATGTTGGAGGCCTCTAATGACACATGCCACAGGCCTCTTATGAGGTCTGAGCAGGTTCCAGAAAGGTTCAGGGGTAGTCCCCTGGCACCTTCCTGTCCAGGCTGGTGGCAGCACTTACCAAGGCCAGGCTGACGGCAGAGGCTGTGATGGGAGGCAGGAGCATGTGCCCAGGAGGCAGGGCATTGTGACATCACTCACTGTCCCTGAAAGGGCAGCAGGCTGACCAGGCAGGGCTTATGTACCCTCTGACCGTTCTGATGCCTAGTCCCTTTGGCCCAGCATATAAGACTGGCCCCTAGTGCGCAAGTCCTGCCAGACCCTGTTGACCTAAACACTTCCTTGGCTCTTGACACCAGACCAGGCTGTGCTCAGGGCTCTGGAGGCCACAGTTCAGAGGAGGGGAAGCCAGTTCTCCAGATGCTGAAATGAGGAACAAGGCCTGAGGCACAGGACTTGCTGGGGCCATAGCTCTATGCCCTGCCCACAGCCCTAACCAGCTCAGGAGGTGGGAGATGGCTCTGCCCAGGGAAGTATCTGAACTTAAGGGATCAGAGGTTGAACCCAACAAATCCAGCTGCTTTGTGCTCCAGAGGAGGAAACAAGCCCAGTTGCCTGGTGAGCTAGGTCCCACATGCCCCAGGGCAGTGCTGGCTACACTGAGGGTTCCCTGGCTCAGGTGAAGGGAGCATGGGTGCATAGGACAGGTGGTACTTACTTTCGCTCTGACTTCCTAGGACAGCATGAAGAGAAAGCGGCAAGGTTAGAGGCAGTCAGACAGGGTGGCCTGAGAAGGCTGGAGGGCCCTTCAGAAGCTGCTTGGTGAGGCAACGTGCAGGTGAGTTTGGTGGAGGAGCAGAGGTGAGCACTAGACAGACCCACCACCAAAATCCCAGGAGGAGATGAAGTCTACCCCTCAGGAACCTCTGTCACACTTGAAATGGGCAGCTGATGGATGAGGCACAAGATGACAAGGACCACTCCAGGGGTCTCAGTGTCACCAGAGAGCTCTGTCTCAAGGACACAGTCTCCCTGCTGTGTTCAAAAGGACAGGGCTTTCAACGCATTCCCAGATAGGACCAGCTAGGTGCCACGCCCCAGGAGCTGAGAGACTCAGCCCTCTGGACACAGACAACAAGACCTGCCCTTCCTGCCACACCCC